GTGGTGCAAGCGGTTAAGTGCGCGCGCTCCGCTGCGACGGCCCGGGGTGCGCTGGTTCGGATCCCGGGCGCGCACTAACGCACTGCTTGGCAAGCCATGCTGTGGTGGCGTCCCCTATAAAGTGGAGGAAGATGGGCATGGATGTTAGCCCAGGGCCAGTCTTCCTCAGCAAAAAAAGAGGAGGATTGGCAGATGTTAGCTCAGGGTTGTACACAACTTTAAAAAAAAAAAAAAAAGAAATTCTTGGCTTAGATATATATACTTTGAATATAGTTATAAAATAATTTTTTATCCCATAGTAGAAAATAACTTAGAATAAATATTTTCTGGAATAACACAAATACAAATCTGCCTATAAGACCCATGCAAACTTGGTTTAACTATTGAACTACTACCATTTTGCCAATGTAGCTACCTGCTCCTAAACGTGAATATAAGCATCAATATGAATAATACAACATTTGAAACTCACTGAAATTCATTGTGCAGTTTTTAACACAAGCAGCAAAAAAAAAAAAAAATGCTATTTTTAGCCAAAGCTGGAAAAGGTGAATTTATATTTGCTCTTTATAGGGTTAGCATTTCATAACTGACACCAAAGGAGGAATAGGGACTCAATTTCAGGTGGAAAATGGCTACCATTTTCATAAAGTATCCAGGTTTTTCAATTTGAGACTTAAATTGGTCTCATGAAGGTTAACATATGACAGCTGAAGGTGCTTATTGGAAGGAAGTAGATGAAAGAGTAATTTGAAAAAACAGCATGAGATTTTTAGACAGGTTTTATATTTTGAAAAAAATGATGACAAAATACGATGGATCTTTGATAACCCATCTCAGTTGTCCGAAGCCCTCAGTGAATAGAAGGTAATTTATCATGCCCAAACCATTCTTGCTTCAGAATAACCCATTTCTTATCAAGTTTCTAGTAAGATGGTAGTGAAGCATCCACCTTATTTTAATGGCCCATATACAATGAGCTACCCCCTCAATCTTGCTTCAACACAACCAACAATGCTTCTTCTTCTTGTAGATTATCCAGGGTGTGTCAAATTAACAGGTAAATTTGCCAGGGCAAAGAGCAATGCAAAGAGAGCTCCACCTACTCACATATTTTTAAGTTCACACCAAAATTGTTTTATCATAAGTTTAAATAGTTCCATATATAATAATGGCTTAGTGTACGTTTTGGTATTTTAAAATAAAACTGTTAGACCACTGTTTTGAACCTATCCAGTGGAATCTAAATAACATAGTAGTTTTGACATCCATGTTACCCATTTTTTAAAAATGAACTCTTTAATGGATAGAACTTTAATTTTTCTTTTTACTCGTTGAACTTGAGCATTAAATCTATTTGCCCCACAGATTTTCATTCTAATGTAACATATTTTTATGCCTGAAAGATACTTATTGATTGCCCATCATACTTCTCTGAAATAAAAATATACATATAAATGGCAATTTAAAAAGAATTTCCCTTGACCCAAAGACTTTAAGTGCTTTAAAAAATGTCTTCTGGATTACGTGTTCATTGCAATTATTACACAGTTAATCAAAACAACATAAATGTATCACCCACTTTGAAAAATAATTATTAAACACTAAAAACAAAAAAGAAATGTATCTCATAATGAGATGGAAGTGACTGTTTTGTTTTTTCAATTACTCTATATTTCATTAAATGGAAAGTTATTTACTATTAAAATGAAGAGAATTTGATAGACATTAAGAACAAAAAGAAGAGAAGGTATTGATCACATATTTGCATACAGTTAATTTAAATCTAACGAGTACGAGGAAGAAATAAACAAGTAGAGAAGAGGTTGATGCAGAGCAGCAAGCAAAACACAGTAAAGTAATAAAAACGGACATGGATTTAGAATATCAAATAATCTCTTTTTGCAAGTTAATGAAAGTGTCTTCTGAATGAATGCTTGAGAAAATATAAAGCATTACCTTTCCTCTAGCGCATGTTCCTTCTATATAGAGATAGAACACTGATCTGATGGAATTAAACAGAACTTTTTACCTCCTCCTCTTTGAAATCTGCAACCAAGGCCTCACTAAGCTCTTCTCATTTCTGAGTAGAGCGAAATGCAGGCAGAGTGTGCTTCATAGAAGAATATTTCTCAACTTGTTTTTTCTTTCTGATAAATCTTGAATGTTTTAATTCTAATCTATGTAAATGGAGAAGCGACAGAGTGTTTCTGTAATTTTGCTGCCTGGATAAAACAAGGTGCCCTCCCTTGTGGTATTTCTTGCAGATGCTCTCTGCTTTGCTCTCATTAAGCGTGCCTTGAGGCACAATATATTCTTTGACAATAGCTGGGGAATGGAAAAGGTGAGGTTGTTAACAAAAAATTGGTATAGCTCTTGCCACCCACCTACACAACACATCTGAATTAAGAAAACTTCAAGATTGGTCAGAATATTCCATTTCTAGTGTCATACTTTGCCCTTAAAACAAATATGTATAAAGTGTGAAAGGCAAGAAGCTCTCCTGTGGGTTGTTTAAAGGAGGTTTCTTCGGGCCGGCCCCATGGCTTGGTGGTTAAGTGCTCGTGCTCCGATGCTGGTGGCCCAGGTTCGGATCCCGGGCGCGCACCGAGGCGCCACTTCTCCGTCCATCCTGAGGCCGAGTCCCACATACAGCAACTAGAAGGATGTGCAGCTATGGCATGCAGCTATCTACTGGGGCTTTGCGGGGAAAAAAATAAAATAAAAAAAAAATCTTTAAAAAAAAAAAAAAAAGAGGTTTCTTCAAGCCCAATATTTTGAACTATGTGTTTGCCTTGTTCTCCTAAGATATGGCTCCACAGGAAGACTCAAGATGGGGAGATGTGTGCCTTTCTTTTGTGAAATGGGAGAAATAACACAAAGAGGGTAGGAAAAGAGAATTGGCAGGTGCCTACACAAAGGCATGTTCTCAGGAAGCTCAATTTCAGAAAACACGCATACGGAAACCGAAGATCTAGAAAACAATTCTTTTGCCACTATCCATGGCTGCGTACCCCAGTTTGAAGACCACCGTTACAGATCATCCACATCACTACTTTTTATTAGGAAGAACTATCTGGATTCTTTTGAAATCTTGTTCCTTTTTTCCTGGGGCATACAAAACATTATGTCATGTAATTTTTATGGGAACCCTTTGAGTGGGGTTTTATTATACCCATTTTACAGGTGAGAAAAGAAAGACCAAACTGCTTAGATAACTTGTCTAAAGTCACATAGATATTAAGCTGAATAGAATTATTTGAATTCAAGTCACCTGCCATCAAAGCCCATTACTCAAATACGGTTCTCATTTCTAAGTTCACTTTTTTTTTGCTTTCTTATACGCCTTCTAACAAACCAAGCCCCATAATGTCACATACAATAATATATAATATTGCCTAAGATTTATTAACAGACTGCTTGAGGGCCAGAAAATATGTTGTTTTACATACATTAGAGCCTTTTAATGCTCACACCACCACAAATGAGGTATAATCACCCCCATTTTGCAGATATTGAAAGTGGGGCTAATAGGAGGCTTGCCCAAGGTCACACCCTAATGCTAATTGGTGGTCAGCTGGGATTGAAACCTAGGTTTGTTTGATTTCAACATGCTCTTAACTATTATGATAAACTGCTCTCACAACAGCAGATACTTGACAGTATAGGCCTAATAATGAAAGAGGACATCACAAACTCTTATGTGTACAAAGGGCAGGCAGACAATGGACGTGAGCAAAGCAAAGCAAGTGTGGCTTCGTAAGGTACAGAGACCAGAGACTGCTGAGAACCAAGCAGATGTGCCTTCTCTGCAGGGCAGCACTGTCCGCACCTGCTTCTATGTGAGGCTGCAGACCCTGGTGGCCAGGCCTTCTGACTGGGCAAGAGGGGCCAGAAAGAGGGTTCTTATATGAAATCTTATAACTGTTAAATGCTGGCAATCAATTAAGAAATATGTTGCACGTATAGCCACATATATTTTTTACCTGATTTTTAAAATACATACACACCACACTCTGGGCAGGCTGAATGTGGTTCACAGAGACCATATTACAGCTCTGAGGTAAAGAGAGTGAGTGGTGGGCTATGCCCCATGTTGAGAGGCTCATTACTGTATTTAAAATACCTCTAGACAACCAATTCTCTTTCTTATTTCCTTTAAATTAGAGCATGGTATTGCTGATTTTCACTGATTTGGGGGCCTCTTGAATGTTTTAGGCAGTCACTAATTCTCCATCCTATGTAGAACTGCAGCATCTAGTATAATAATCCCCACCTAGAACAGAGGTTAAACAGATACAAACCCAGAAAGATCTCAAGCACTGCAAGGAAAGACTGAGGCTCGCAAGCTGGTGCCGCTGCTTCCTGTGAAGCCACACCTCAGAGGTAACCTGCACTCCACCTTCCCCATCTCAATCCTTGTACTCTGTCCCCCAGCATCATGCTCAATCCTGTACTCCAATGCCTTGCACATGGCAGGAGTTCAATAAACATCTGTTTTTGCTGGAGATGCTCTATTCATGTCCATCCTCTCATAGTCCCATCTTTTCCCATCCCAGCTCTAAAAGTTAGCTAGGAAAGGTTTTTGTTGACTGCTCAGAGCTCCCGAAGCTACCAGCTAAAGACCTCTGTTTAAACATTTATGCTCATTAGATGTGAACAATACTGGTGGGTGGAGCTGTTGTCACAAGACAGCAAATTTATCACGCTAAAGCTGTTATTTGCATTCCTCTGTAACTACATTGTGTTTTTTTTTGTCTGGTAGTTTCACTAATGGGCTTACTTTTACAAATATAATGATAGACTTCCTAGGTATAAATACAACCTATATCAGAATAGTAAATCACATTCTAATTACGTGTTCAAATCTATTCCTTTAATCTTTAACGCATTAGAAATTCAATCCAATATTTTCACCCCTTGTGCTATTATGGCCAATAAGGCAAATATTCTAAACACATCAACCTGCAATAGAAGCTTATTTTCAAGCAATCAATTACTTATATTCGCTGGTGTAGGTGGTGAGCTCACTGTCATTGCGCATCCACTTGAATTCCAAAGGCCAGCTCCCTTCAGCAAGGCAAGTGAGAACAAGGCGGTTCCCTTCCAGGTGAATCTGCGGTAGGCCTGGCTCTGTTTTAAAATACGGCACAATGTCATCTGAAATATATTCAGAAAAAAAAAGAGAGAGAAAAAAAGGAGAAAAAGAAACCTGAATGAAGTACACATGAAAATGGAATTCATCCAATTAATCAATCACTTACTTAAACAGACCTAAGTTTACAAAGTAGAAATGATGGCTACTTGGCCTCATTAAGTAGCAAATAATCCTTGACCCCCTGGAAACACGATACCCTAGATAATATTTCAAAAGGCTGAAAGCTCAATGATAGCACCATTTGAAAGCATCTGCCAAGTTCATCCAAGTTATTTCCATTTATGATTAATACTTATTTATTAAAGGGGCATATTGGGCAATCTCTGCTCATACAAGCCTTGGTTTTAACTAGACAGTATATTCTCGGTGTGACAATCAAAGGTATATACTTAGGTTCTAAAAGAGAAATTCCCTCATATTCAAGTTCAAAACCAGGCAAAACTAATCTATGGTGTTAGAGGTCAGGATGAACATTACCTCTGGGGGGTGGGGATGGGGGTGGGGGTGTAACAGGGCACCTTACGGAGAGCAGGTCATATCTACTTCTCGATATGGTTAAACGGGGGCACTTGTCAAAATTCATAGAAAATCATTCTATGTATGATTTGCGCAATTTTTGTATGTATGCTTCAATAATTTAAAAAGATATATGAACACAGGACACTTCGCTTCTAGTTCTAGCTCCATTGCTAATTAGCCATATGACCCTGATCAGGACACGTGGGTTTCTGTTTCTTTATCAGTAAAATAGACAGAATTAAATGACTTTTCATTTTTCCAATAAAATCCCATGGCACATCTGCAAAATCTCCTTCCTGTCAATCTTTCAGGCTCCTACCCTCTCTACTCACACATCACTCCAGCCACACTGGGCCTTTTAACGCTTAAACCAGGCTAAGACCTTTCCTACCTCGGGCCTTTCCACGTGCTCTTTCCCCACCTGGGATGCTCCTCCCCAGCTCTGTGCAGGCTGACTCATTCTGACTCTTCAAATTAACAAAGCTCCTCCCCACCAACACACGCCCTAACAAACCATAACATTTATTTCATTCACAATACTCCTCAGATTTTGAAATTAAAGTGTTTATGGATTACACCCAGTGCATTCCCATGCCCTATCTTGATCACTTCTGAATTCCCAGCACCTAGAATAATGCCAGGAACAAAGCAGAAACTGAATAAATATTTGTTGAATGAATAAATATAGTAGTAATGATACAAAAAAAACAGCAATAGCTGGTATTCATTGAGTATTTACAATGTGCTGGAAACTGTTCTAAGTGCTTTATATGTATTACCTTACTTAATTCTCACAAAAGCCCTACAAAATAGATGCCACTATTATACCATTTTACAGGTAGATAAAGAGAGGCACGGGGAAACTAAGTAAACTTGCTCAAGGTCACTCAGACAGTAAGTGTAAAATCATGATTTAAAACCTAGATAATCTGTTCCAGAATCCACCAATTCTATATATTATGACTCTAAATGTCACAGGTTTATAAATAAGGGAACTTTCTTCTCAGGAACCCATATCTTAACTTCAAATTTTTGATAAATTTGTGGAATTACTAAACTAGACTTTTCAATTAAATTATGCATTTTTTAACAAATGAAGCATCAAATAGCATATTAAGTGTTAAAATTGAGACTATTTTTTACATTAAACTGTCATACATATAGCTGGTTTCTTTTGTACTGCATATAGAGAATTTAAATATAGAGAGCTTACTTTGCCATTGTGCTGATCACTTGTATTCCATTACTGGTGTACTGGTAAAACAATATTACCAAACTCTTACTCATATTCATTCAAATAAATCAATGTTAAATTGCATCTGTGAGTGTGCTAAGAGCCTATAATAAGCAGATTTAACCTAGTCAATGAGATGCCATCCAGGAGCTAAAGGCTAAAAGATCAGCAGGAGTCAAATTCTTAGATAACACCATGTGCGAAGGCCCTGTGGGGGCAGCAAACATGGTGAGTAACCTTGGGAAGTATAAAAGACTGAAAAGCAAGCGGTTTTGCAAGGGCAGAAAGAGTGAATGGAAGCCGGGTGAGCAAGGCCCAGGATGTGCAGGGCCTGCAGGCAAGGTAGGCACACACCCTTGTTCCTAGGTCATCTGTGTGTCATTTTCAATGGTGCCCACTTCACATGCAAAAGTGTTCTTGTGTGAATGATAAACTATACGGCCACTCTATTTATGGGCCTTGGTCAAAAGTACTGTCAGTATTATCATTATGAATTATAAAAGGACAGCAGAAAGACTTTGAAAGGGCTGCAATGTGGAGAAGGAATTAGGAGGGACCAGAGTAGGGGAGTAGAACATTTAGGAGGCCACAGCAGTGATCCAGGCAAATGCTCCAACAGGGGATGGTTGGCTGGGCCAAGGTAACAAAATTGATTGTGGTGGTGGAGAGGGAGAAAAATGGGTGGCTTTAAAACAATATTTAGGTGGCAAAAAAGATTTAGTGATGGATTGAATATGGAGGTGAGGGAGGGGGAGGTGTCAAGAAGGATTCTTAGGTCTCTGACTTGCACAGTTTGCTGTTCAATAAACACCCATTGATTCTGTAATCAGCACTGGGAATACAACGAGAATAAGACACAGTTGCTGTCTCGTAAGAGGTTACAGTCTAGGTCTGATGTCAGAACAGAAACAGTAAAGTGTTAGGTGCTGTGACTGAAATATGTAACTCAAAGGCAGCAACAGTCACTCCTTGTCTGATTCCAAGAGTTCCCCCTGCTTCTGCTGCACATCATGCACTCTAAGCTACATTTCAAGCGAATTCTTAGGTTTTGATTGTCAACCATGTGTCCAATTTCCCTTTTTGCTATGTACTTTCGCTAAAATCATCCATTCTCATGACCCAAGCAATCTAATAAAGCTGAATTGCAACGGATATAGCTTTGATACCTTGGGATTGACTGAGGTACAGGCTTTATTAATGCCCTGCTATTTGCACTATATTTAACAACAGAAAAAGAAATGCCATTTCATAGTTCCAGTGTCCTACAAGAATGAGTCATAAAAAATACATCTTTTCGAAAGGAAAAATCTTGAAGATAGACATTCAAGAATTTGATTTTACAATTGACACAGCATCATCAATTTAATATGTTATATAATGGTTTTGAATGTAAATGATACCATAATTCAATTTTTCATAGAATTTATAGTTTAGTAAACATGCCTATACTATGTATAAATTACACTGGATACTGTGATCTAATAGGAAAAGGAATCTTCATAAAGAATAGTTTCATATAGCTGGAAAGCAAATATCTTGTGATTCAAATGATTGTAGAATTATGGTTAGCACCGATGCTTACATTTATTATAGGAAGAAGGGAGGGCAAATATGTCAATGCTCTGGAATCGTAAGCGTCTAAGTTACAATTATCACCACAAGTATTTTAACACAGATTAGCCAATGTGCAGAATAACATAGTTATCTCTCCGAGCCCAGGACTATTTACCTCTGAAATATACACAGGAGATCATGAAATTAAAAGAAGGCATAAAGGTAACAAAACACAAAAGCTTTGGGGAGAGAAAGAGAGGCAGAAGGATTAGTATTCAGGTCTGCACAGACCCCTACAAAAGCATGTGATCTTTATATACATTAAATGGAATAGAAAAAAGTCTGAAAAGATCCCTAAAGACAAAAATGATTGAATTACTTCTGAGATAAGATTATCAAACTCTGACCTGGGGAAAAGTCAATGGTCTGCTTGATGCTCTTTGAGGGGTGAGTGTGTGTGTGTGTGTGTGTGTGTGTGTGTGTATCTGTGTTTTACCAAATAATAACTAATAGATCTTCCCTTCCTCAGAAAAAAGGAGCAGAGATTAAGTATGCTTCTGTATTCTTACAATGAACATTATAAGACCCTGGAATGAATTACTAAGGAAAACTGTGAAATTTCCATTTTCACATACTTTTAAGTAGAACATAAATCATTTATGAAAGAGAGAGTCTCATCTGTCTGGATAATATAGATTTAAGGTCCATCCAAAGGAGAGGAACAGACTTAATGTTCTCTCAAGACAACATCATAATTTTATGATATAGAAATCACTTCCCTAAATGGAATTTTAAAGTTTTCAGATATAATGTAAATGGATTTAACTTTACCTGTCCAATGTGAAGATAATCTTCTGCTCATCTAGAAAGGAACCATGACCCATTTGCCACAGTAAAAATCATTTACATGGGGAAGCTGGAGGATAAGAGGCTGTGAAGCAGAACCACGTCCTGTGGTTCTAGGCTTTCCTGCCATGAAGAAGGTGAACTTGCCATGGGTTTTAATGATCTGCTCCACAACAGAAAACGGAGAATCTATTACCAGAAACTCTTTCATAGCAGAATGGATAGGAATCAGCCACTAGTTCCCAAGAAAGTCAAACTACAAGCTGCTCTTGTGCCTCTGCCCCTGAGAGAGCTTCAGCTAGGATAATCATAATCTGTTCAGTAACTTCCACTTTTCTCCTCCATTTTAAACTGATAATGAATAAAGAAATAATAACCAACTCCCACTTAGCAGAGGAATCAACCATACCATAAACAAGGGGGTCTAAAGGAGACAAACCCCACGTTCTGGTAAAGCGACAATGAAAATTATTGAGCCGTCGTAATCAGCACTATCAATCAGGTGAGAGTCCAGTGGGAAGGATGAGGAATCGCAGCATGAAGGGAGCAATCAGCTGGAGCGGGACCTTTTATTACTGAACTCTGCTTTTTCAACAGCTGAATTTCCCAGGGCGACTGATCTCTTGGTTTAAACCACTAATCTTCCTTTGAAAACTTCTTTTATGTCAAATTCAAACATTTTCATGCCCCAAGCTTATGAATTTACCACTAACAGAAAGTTTTATTTTTCAAATCCCAGTGAGAAACAAAAGTACAGGGCATAATGTATCATTTCTGAACAACTATTCTGAAAAATATGGGTAGAAGATCCTTTGCTGGTAAATACAGTCATTCAAATTTCAGCTGCTG